AATGAAAAATGGAAAGTCCTGGGGGAGCGCGAGAGGTGAACCGACGGGGCTGAGGAAGGGGAGTCCCCTCCCACTCTGGAACTATGCAAAAACTAGGTGTAGAGTTGTAACACTGCTACTTAGAGCTAATTTAGTTCCATTTATGAACAGACCCGGACTTTTGCAGCACTGGTGCCTGTGCCGTACGCGGAAAGGACGGAGGGGAACAAAACACCCATCGTCCCTTCCCTGGATCGGTCTATAATTATATATAAGATGGGGCTCAAACTTATCATCTCTTCTATCACAAGCAGATATTTGAGCTATTATAAAACGAAAAAGTAACATATTATGAGTTCAAATTCGTAAAATTTTCGACTCCGACCACCCGCTGAGCACTTTTATGAATCTTTGAAACTGACCTGTTCCTGGTGGACCCTGAATTAGGGCAAGTTCATGTGTAAGCGCATAGCATAATGCATTCCGTTGTGCATCATCCAAGCCTCCAGCCACTTTATCACCATCAAGCGTATACTTCAGTCGATGCACAGGATACGAAGTACCAAAAACGCTTATCTGCTTTGGCGGCAAAGGCTCTGAAATGCACAAGCAATTACGTGTAAACTCAATTCTGTCGCGACCTTAAAAGTATGTGGGGTTTTTGAACTAATGTGCGTGCCGTGTGTGTATGTGTGTGTGCATGCCTTGCGTGTGTGTGTGTGTATGTGTGTGTGTACGGCGGAGTGTGCATGTTAGCTAACACCTAAAGATAGCTATATATTTGTAATCATATATAAAAGACTGTAGCTATACAAAGTACTTGAAATGCGAGAGATGAATAACAAATAAAACGTGGCGGGGCTCTGGAGAGCCGACGCCTCCCAGAACAAGGTGACGCGAAGCAACTGCGACTCTGGATACCGGAGATGGGGAGGAGTGCTTTTATACCCCAGTTGACATAAATCATAAAGACTGCCTAACTCTAACGGAGGTAGGGTCCCCAAAGATTGAGTTGGGAACCAGGGCTGTTACGACGTAGTGATGCAATTGTTCCTTACGTATTTAACAAAAAAACAAATCTTGTGTAACAATTCGATGACTGCAAAACTCTGTCAAAATATGCAAAGTGACAATGCCACTGGGTAACTTCCTATTTTCAGAAAACGAAAGTACATGCATGCGTGGGCTCAGTAACACAGATTACACCGGTATTATTCGAGTATGGAACACCAAAGAAGGAAGCGAAGTTGGAGGCTCAACCCCCTTCGCCTTGCCCAGTTGCCTTTCGGTTTCCTGTAATATGCAAATGTCCCATCTCTTGGCTCGAGTTCCCCCCTCCGTGATATTTAATGTGATGAGTGTAAATAAAATGGTGATTGTAATTGTTTTGTCTCACTGGAAGTTGAAGTGCGCCGCGGTAGCTTGGAGCTGTGCGTGTCCGGTGGCAGCTTAGAGCTGCTGTCGAGCGATTTCTGTGGTTCGTTTATCTCTTTTGATTTCTTTAATATTGCACTAATAAAGAAGTGTGTCTTGCTGCGTGGTGCCCCTCAACTGCCGGAGCGCTTCCCCACAGCCAGGCAGGCATCCCAGCTCCAGGTCCTCCTTGTCCCGAATGTTAGAAAGCCGCCTAGATCCGTATAGGATCAAGCCCAGATAATTTTACTAGGATGCTTCCACACATACTCAACGTAACTGCTCCAGTCATTCGATCCCGAACTGTATTTCTCCGGATTATGCCTACCAGTAATTGTGCCTATGAGCCTGTGTCATCACTTCGAGGGCCACTCGAGTGAATGCTTACTTTTTCGCGAGTACTACCTACTGATTTACCATTAGTATAGTTGCAAGAAACCATCAAGACAGGCTCATTGATAGGCTTTCCATTAACTGGTTGCTGTTGACACTTGCTATCGCCTTGATAAAAGCTCAATAAGGGCGAGTACGGAGAGGATTCTGATTTCCTCCTGACTATTTTGCTGATAAGAACAGTCCAATCGGCTTTACTTTCTAGCATGATCATAATCACATATTGCACATCGCTCAGCCAATGCAGAGTCCGACTCTGCTCACAGGGTCACGAGAGATACTCCAAGCGTTCTTTGATCGATCTACTGTCGCAGAGAGCCTTTTTATGTTGGCCGATATTGTTTTATCGTTCTCGAAGTTTCAAATCCTATACATTTCTGGCAATGTAAGCGTGAATTCAAATTACCGCCCCTCATCTATCAAAACCCTCACATTCGCATTTGAAATGACTACTTTTTGGTTGGACCTCCGTGGCCCCTTCTTTCCTTTCTATTTCAGGATATCCGCAGTTTGGTTGGGCACAAATACTGCCCTATAATCTGACAAACGATCAACACTGCCCTGCAGTCGGTGAAGATGATAAACTATCAAGCAGCCAAACAGCTGCAATGTACGTCTGGAGAAAACCTGTTGTTGACGATGAAAGACCTGGCATCGCTGTGCTCTCTGTAGAATTAGAGAATGGAAAAAATTCCGACGAGCTGATGCCTAGCGTAGGAGAAAGGGAAACAATGATGCTCAGGAATGTGTACGCAGTCATCAGGTAAACAAACAAACAAGTAAACAAACAAGTAAACATCAGGGAAAGGTAAACAAACAGCGTTACAGTGTGTAGATCACGAAAATAATACCAAGAAATTAGTGCATAAAAATTTTAACTCATCAAAAAACTATCTGTTCAAAAAAAACTTACCTTGTTCAGCAGCCGAGTCCGAGGATTCTGTATACACGGTGTTTAGGGACGAAGATGACTCGCTGTGTGATAATCCCCTGTTCCTGGACGATGAATTTCTAAGATATGCTGGAAGAGCAACGTCCGTTTTTCCACTGATCAAATATCGCGAAAACGGAAGTTTATTTTTATCATTGAAAAGCTGAAAATTTGTACTTAAAATAATCAAAAAAAGCTAAATTTCCCGGTTCAAAAAGCACCTCATTTCAGCACCTCTGGCCTCTCGCGCCATCTTAATCTATGCGGTATTTCGTATTTTTCTATCCACCCATAAAGCACCCCTAATTTTTATCAGTACGTAAAAGATATCGGATCTGCATCCCACCTATGACAGACACTTCAAATCCACCAAAAAAAAAAAATTTTTTTTTTTAAATTTGATCGCATCTTTTTTTTCAAACCTTCAAAAAAAAATATTTCAAATTTGCCCAGACCTTAGCACGTGATAACATCAAGAACCTCCACTCACTGCACTCAAAATTTCTGGCTATTTATGAACAACCTCAAACCCGTTCATAAGTCCTTACGTAAGTACCACGCATAGCTTGGGGCTGAAACTGAAATATTTGAGTTGCACTTGGACAGGGAATATTTGCCCAAAATTTCAGCCTTCCAGATTTTTTGGATACCAAGTTAGCAATTTTCGTTCTGA